TTTTGATAGTTTTGTAGGTAGTGAGAAATATCAACTATCTCTGATACACATGAGCTTTACTCAATACTCAAAGCCAAAATAGCTCTCGTAGTCCCATAGCTCAAAGTTGAAGTTAGGAGCAATTTTTAAGCATTGATTTTTGACTAACCATCAGTGCAGCACTAGATTTTTCTGTCTTTAAATCACAGCTGGGAATGGTATTCTCAAAATACTATGGTTGAGTAAGAATCGAACGGAGTTCCATGGAAAGTTACTTTTCACAATGCAATATTGTTCCTATACATTAGAGAAATATCAGTTCTCCTCGTCTGTCTTCAGCCCACTTGTCAGGAGAAAAAATTGTCATGTTTTCAGGTTTTCTCATTTTTTTTCCCCCTTTCCATTAAAAAACAAACAAAATTCCTGGAAAAATAAATGTCCAATAAAAAAATCCACACAGGGACCCTAATTTACTCCTCTCCAATGTAAATGTTTTGCAAGTGTTTCAGCAAAGGGAAGATTTTTTTTTTTCCTGGACAACAAACACAGCCAAGGTATTTGGTGCCCTGCTAACACCTCCAAGCTGTGAGACAGAGGGGCTCAGACCCAGGATCTCATCCCTGTGCCTTCCCAACCCTCCTCTCTCCCTGGCAGCGATGATCACCACAGCACAGGCAGCTCCACATCCTTTGTGATCAGAGAAGCTGCTCTAACACCAGCAATTAATTTCTCCTATTGGGACATCAGGGGCTTCAAACAGTTCACAAGCACGGCAAAATAGATGGCAAGACTCCAATTTTCTTCCATGAACTTTCTAGGTCAGAAATCAGGTTTTAAGGGCACAGGAGATCATACTGTCTGGCTTGCTCTATAATCCTGGAAAAGAGACCTGTCCTAGGCTGACCAGCTTGTGAATCGAGGCCACTGTTTTTCTTTAGTTGGCCCTGCAGAAAAAATAGATTTTTCTTTGGGCTGTACGCTCAGAATTCTTATGGAAATAAAAAGGTGAAAAAAGGGAATGGAAACAAAAAGGAAAGGGAAATGGAGGAGGAAGAGAAAGGGAAAGGAAAAAGAGGTGAAGGGGAAGAAAAAAGGGGAGGGAAAGGGGGGAATGAAATAATTTCTACTGTGTTAAACGCAGCTGGATATAAGCCTGCCATAATTTCACACACAAATCTTAACCTTTCCTCCCTCAGCTCGACCAGACTCCTGTAGTTCACAAAATGTTATCACAAGCGAGTTGGGCTGGCTGCACACTCCCGGCCCTGGCAGCATTCAGACCAGTATGAGACAAACCAGCTGTGCCGAATCCTGAGCTGAAGCGTTGCCATGAGGTTCATCTGGTTTAGATCAAAGGGCTATAGGGCGACTCTCATCAGAAAGTGCTGGGAATAGGAGACCTTAAACCTTTTGATTCCCACAGTCCCTCAACCTCCAAATAAATTAAAATATTTAATCAAAATCTAATGGCAGTGATCTTGTTTGTAGAAATGCTTTATTATCCCTTGCATTTTAACCACAATCTGCCTGGTTCCTAATGCGACCTAAAGAACTAGTCGGCATTTATTACAAATGCAAGGCAGAAAGCTTCTGGCTCAGCAATTAATCACTGACATGGAGGAATTTCTTCTCTCCAGGTGGGGAACCCATCCAAAAACTAAGAAAAATAATCGGGCTAATTAATTCTTATCTGCAAAGAGCAATTAGATAAATGACCTAAAAACAGGCCTGTCACCCCTAGTGAGGTGCTCGGCTTCTAAATAGAATAATGTCTCTTTGCCAGGCCATCTCTGCAGTGAAATGGAGATCACAGGGAGGAAGGGGAAAAGACAGCATGTGGGGAGGGAATGGACTGATAGGGGAGTAGGTTAATTAGAGCTGAGACCAGCCATTGATATAAAAAAAAATTAAACCAAATCTCTGCACTCGGGTAGATTTGCTGTGATCCCATCACCTTCACAGCTCTGCCTTTGTGCAGCCAGAGGTACTAAGGAGAGTGAAGCCACATCTCCAAGCTACTTTAAGAGAGGAAATCCACTCACCAGGCTTGTCCACCACTGCATTGCATTTCACCTTGGTGAGTGGCACCCCTGACATGGCATCCTTATTAACTCTGAACTGTGTGTCTGCGGCACGGAACGATGGCACCAAAGTGAGATGCAAAATACTCTGCTTCAATTAGTTTGCTCCAGCAGACTTCTTCTGGTTTATATAGGAAATGTGCAATGCAGAAACCTTCAGGAGAGAGCCAAATTAATCTAAGCAGCAAAAGTGAGGAAGCAGTAAGAGTATTTGTACAGCAGACCTTTGCTCATCTGTGTATCCCCAACAAACTCTTGCTGTCCTTTCAGACATCTCATAGCCAGGCAAAAACCAGGAGAGTAATCAAAAGAGAAGAGAAAGGGCTTTGGACACATTAGGATAATATTAAGAATTTGTTTTTGCTTTCCTGTTCACAATTAAGTTCCTTGCTCAGTGGTACAAGGTATCTTTTTCCTGATCCTGCTGTTGTGCTTACTTATGTCATGACACCATGCCATGTCCAATGGCAGGGGACAAAGGGACACATTGAAGGAATTGATTCAGGCTTATTGAAGTATTTACAGAAATAAGCCTAAATGACCAGACATAAAATACTGCAGCAGTCAGATTAAAACAATCCACTGCAGTTATAGTTAATCAGGGCTTTAGCCTCCAAGGAACTGATTTGAGACTAACAAAGTGTTTTCCAGCTCCCAAACCCCATGCCAATCACGTTACTCCTGCCTTGGAGCTGTTAACAATACCAAATACAAAAGTAAATGCAAGTCTGCAGATAGTTTTACTGTTTCCAATATCCAAAGCTTCTTACAGTAAAAAAGAAAGACTAAAAAAATTACCATCCCCAGGGCTACAGATGCTGGTAAGAGACCTTTGTCTCTGTCTGAAACCTTGTGTGACCAAGGTTCTTATAATTTATACAAAGCAGATGCCTGCTTAAATGCTTTACTCAAAGCTGTCATGGCCCCTACATCCAAGCAGTTAACAATAAATTACAAGGACTAATGGATTAGATTAAGATGCATGAAAACATTGTATATATTCTGAAGAATGATACTTCACCTACCAAAAAAAAAAAACCACAAAAAAAACCCAAAAAACAAAACAAAACAAAAAAAAAAAAACCATAAACCACTGCTGTGAATGTTTGGAAAGGAAAAGAGATATATATTCCAGTTAAGTACTTTGCTGCTTGCATTGGCTGAAATGCGGCGGCACAACAAAAGCAACCATCTGTGTTTAAACACAAAGGAAGAGACAAGCAAGTCTGTGTCAGTTTAAATTTATATTTTCCCTCGATGATGCTAATGTGAGGTTTAAGGCAGAGCAGAGCCCACAGGATGCCTAAGGATGTTTCTGGAAGATGAATGCATGTGTGGAAGATGGGCAGCTCAGGTCCAAGTGTGAGCTTCTGCAGGGCTGGGGATGTTCTGGGGAGAAGGTTTGCTGCAGGAGCAGGATTCCTTCCTGAGCTTGTGTCCATTTCATAAACTTTGCCACAATTCAGAAAATAAAGATGAATAAGTTTCAGTTTGCACTTTTTGCTGCATATATTAAAATGGACAAGGCTCCAGGCACAGGCTGTTGAGGGGGGCTAATTGGAAGATTGTTCTTATAAATATCCTCTGTTCATTTTTTGTGAAGATGCAGGAAAGTTCTCAAGAACTGGAAATTCAGATGTTGCTGCAGTCCAGAGTGGATACTTGCTAATATTGCTGCATAATAGAAGAGCTGGGAGTATCTGAAAATAACACAGGAAAAAATGGAAAAGTAGCTCAGAAATTTGCAGGCCAATTGGTGTTTACAAGAAATGCCAGTGGTCCATTATCCAAACTTCAGAAAAGAAGGATGGAATGATGCAAATCAACACAGATTCACTAATAATTTAATTACATTTAGTAAAAAAAATGAAAGTGTGAAAACATCCGAACTGCAGTTTCCCTGACAAAGTTTATTCCCTTTTATTTCTGTGCCTGCTTTGGTTCTGTCAAGAAGACCCAAACCAAGGCTCATTCTTATCTTATCTAGAGTATATTGGCTGCATCATATTGGTAATATTCATGCCCAAAATAAAATTGGAGCTACCTGGAATTGAGAAATTTGGGACAGCTGGCACATCAATGTCCCCAACCCACTGCAAATGTCTGCAAGGGCTGTTTCTATATGTATCCTGTACAAGGATTGAGAGTCAGGAGAAATACCTTTTTTTTTTTATCTTTCAGCCAACTCACTTATGTTTAATTTATACAGAAATAGGTACAGCCTCCTTCAGCACCAGAGCATTAGGGTGTTTTTAATGAATAACTTACAAGAAACAGTCACCTGCTAACAGGTCAGCCTCCCTTTTGTGTTTCATTCTAGTTTCATTAGTAAAGAAAAAAAGGCCTTTGATTGGATTAATGGAAATAGAACCACAGGGTTTAAATTATAAAGTATCCAGTGGTTATTTCTAGTAGCTCCTACTTTCAACTGGGATCATGATTTTTATCGTCTCAGGCTCAAAGCTTTTGTGTTTGACTGCCTTGGACTGCAACATGGAAAGGTTTTGCTTTAGCAGAAATCACATTTCATCTTTCTCTCTTCAGTGATGCAGCTAAACAGCCCCTGGCTTTAAGGCTATCACCCCTACTTGATCCCTGAGCTGCTGGGGTTGCTCTCGACAGAAACTTCTGAGCAGAATCCCTTTGGTTGTTTGCTTTTTTCTCCCCTCTACTCTCCTCATGTCCCTGCACCACCACCTTCCAGCGAGGGGCTATTTTTATTTATGTATTTATTTCTTTCCATTGAAACTGCAATATCTGGAGGTGGCTACAGGCAGGACACAGAGCCATATGCTGTGCCTAACTTATATAAACAGTGTCCTGGGTGACAGCCTTTCCTGGCCCATCTGCAGCTGCCAGGGAATCCATTATTTTTCTGGTCCCTGGGGAGAAAAAGTTCTTGAGCATCATTACTCCTAGGCAAATGTAACTGACTCTACCATGCACCCTAATTTGCTTGCCATAATTATAGGTCGCTCACCCCCCTTTGCTATTTATAAACCTTTTTTATTTATTTTTTGTACTTATCAATAATGAATGGAGGCTAGTGAATCATGGGGCTGTAAATTTGAATATTATGAAAATGCTAATAACAAGGTATCATAGGCAGCAGCACCCAGGTCTTATCAGCTGGTCAGATGCTCTATTAAGCAGCCAGTGAGGAGTTCAAGCAAATTGGTTATGTTAATGTCCTGTAGTACTTGGGGAAGATGAGGAGTTAGCAATTAATTTTTTTTTCCTTCTTCTTCCCAGGCTGCAAGCCGACAAGGCAAATTTATATTCCTCCTATTCTGTGGGACCCCAGCTCGCAAGGGGGGCAAGGTGAAAATGCAGGAGCCTACCAAGAGCTTTCTGAGATCTAATTGAATGGTGCAACTGAAAAAGCTGCTGGGAGGGCGAAGGGCTGAACAAGGAATAAATAAAGAAATATATAAATAAGCAAGCAAGCCCCAAAACAATGGGAATGAGGCATTCTTCCCCATTCATTCAGCTGACAGTGCTTTTGCAACTTAAACCTGTTTTATTAATTATGTTTGACATTTCCTTAATTAGTTTCATTTACATCCCATCAGCCCCTACCAGACGATTGCCCCATACATCATTTCACCAGAGGACTGAGATGCCTACAGAATTACAAAAACACCCCCCTCACTGCAAACCCCAGTAACTCATCACTGTAATTTTCACAGATTTTGAGAATTAATCTTTTCACCTCCTATTTCTCTTATAAAAATATATGGACATTTAATCTTTTTCTTTTAATTATTATGAATTTTTCAAAGGATTGTGATGCAGGACGAAATCTCTGGTTTCCTTCCATACATACAATTTGCTTTGTTTCACAGTTCTTATGTATCCTGACATTGACAAAATATGGACTCCAGTGAAGGATCCAATTCCATGGACTCTGCCTTGACTCCAGAGCCTCACTAGTAACCTCAGTGCTTTTCCCAGTTAGCTCTAGAAACTCACAATATTTTAATTTATGGAGAGATTCTTGCTGCCCCCATAGTTATTATGCGTTTTTTTCATATATTGATTAATTTCTACAGAAGCCACGACAGACTTTTTACAACTTTAGTAAGAACGAAATGATTTTTTTGTTGTCATTTCATGCCATTGCTCAGAGCTCTGGCGTGTTTGTCCTACCTCTCTCTCCATCCCCTCCAGGGGCTGGTGCGTGCGCTGTCACTCTGCACACTGAGCAGCCAGACACAGGACTGGCATTAGAGGCAGGCATTTCAGAAGTACACACTCTTTTAAAATCAGCTCAGTGCAGAGAACAGAGCGAGTCACAGCTTAGCACGAGGAGCATTCAGTGTGGAAGCTGCACAGCCAAAATCACACGGTGGAAATCCAATCTCCTGCAGGAGCAGAGCCCTGCATGCCCCACCTGGGAGCCACCTGGCAGGAGGCAGGACCTGCTGCCCACTTGGGCTGTCAGATGTCTGGTGCAGAACGTGGCTCTGCTGTCCAGCCCTCGGCACACAGACACTGCCTGATCCGGCTGGGCTAAAGTGACAACCTGTTTTTGCTAATCCCAGAACGTGCTACCAGGAGCTGTCATTTCAGAGTCGTCACACTCTCTGTTGATAGCGCTGGAGTTAATCATGCAGAAGGAAAAAGCTTGTATTAAAGCAGATAATTATTCCCCAATTCCTTAATAATGCATGCGAAGGAAAGTGATTCTTATTGTCTTGGCAAACTGTGGTGCTTCAGCACTTTTTTTGTTTAATATTGTTACCCAGGTATCTTTCCTCCTTTCCACCACCTAGATCAGGGTTGTTACACTGAAACAGAGAGCTTTCTTTACTGCGAGCTGCTATACCTTATACTCAGCCCATACTTACATTGTACCATTGGCACAGTAGGAGCTAATTGACATAAGTAACCAGGTTATCTTGATTGATTTGAGGAGTTCATCCAATTAAAAGGCAGCTGAGGAGATGTTGTCCCTATCCAACCACCTACCCTTGCAAGGGCTCTCCAGATCTGTGTGTAACAGCAGCACAGGGATCTGCCAGCTCAAGCCCTCCCAATACAAATACCAGATGGACTTACAAGCCCCAATAAAAGAAATATTAATGCAACATATGGAAATATATTCACTAAAAGAAACAGACTCAAAGAAATATTGATGTCTTTGCTTTCTCAGTGGGACTCATTTGCTAGGACAGAGCTTGCTGCAGTCTCAACCACATTTCTCAGCCCTTTTGGCTCTGGGGCCAGGTCACGTGAAGCCAGGCAGATATTTCCGAGCTTTCAACAGGATCCAGATGTCACAGATGCTCTTGGTGCTCTGTCCTCTCCAGCCTTCACATAGATGGCCCTAGCCTGGGTTATAACCAACTGTCTCCTCAAATTAAGTCTGCCCAAAACTTTAAGCCTTTGCTTTAATAAAATTCTCTCAGCCCTCAGCCCTCAGAGGGGAGAAGATGGGGGAATAATGTTCTCGTTTCACCTCAGAGGTTATTACATCTGTGCTTTGGGAAGCAACAGACATCAGGGCTAGAGTTCCACAGTTGGACTAGACATAGAGAAAAAAATCTTGCAATTTGTTCTGAAACCAGAGAGATTTCATCCTGTTTTGGAAGCCTTCCAGGTAAAAGCCATGTCTGGGACCCTCTCCAGATTTTCTGCAAAGCACTGGCTGTTTCATTTCCAGATCATTTCAACCCTCAAGATCAAAGGGAGCCTGATTTTAAAAGCAGGAATTAAGTACTGGTGAAGAAGAAGGCAGTTTTAACTTTGCTGTAACCATACACATGATTCACAGAGGAGTTTCATCAAAAAGTTTGGGGGTGCTGGGTTTGTTTTGTTGTTTGTTTCTTGCTTCATTCCTTTCCTTGTTCTCTGTTATCTGTGATCCAAGCATTTCCCAAGACACTGCAAGAACATGGGTGTGAGAGGAATACGAAGCAGATTGTAGGGAAAAGGCTGATAAGTCCCATTCAAAATTTGCTGGTTTTTCTTTCTGAAGAATTCAGCTCAGAAGCCGTTGAGAGGAAATTTGGAGAGATGAAGATGGGGAATGAAATACCTATCCCTGTGGGACCACAAACAGCCCTGGGTGCTGTTCTTTGGGCTCTGGCTTCATAAAGTGGTTCTTTTTGAGCGAGGTTGGCTCCTTTTTAATAATGTCCTCTTCTGTCATTGATGCTATTTCATGGCAGGTTAACCTCAAAGGGTTTAGATCATTTCCCAGCTTTCCTGTTTGGATTCCACTACAAACACACGAACACAAACCCCAGACCCTCCAGTTCAATTATGAATAGTTAAAAACCACCACTAAAGTAGTTTGGAAGATTTATCAGATGCTGCTGGGGCTCCAGATTTATCTCAAATAGCATCAAATGACCAAAAAAGAAAAAAAAATCAAAATATTTTTCTGTCACATGCTGTCATACATTGTCAGGGAACCTTGTGCTGTAGCTGCAGTGAAGTTGAATCTGATTAAAAGATCAGCAAACAAGGCAGGTTGAGGGGAATTTGATCTCATCATTGCTATGCCTGGAAATACCTGTCATCTTCTAGGTTGTCCTGCACTGTGACACTCTTTCTTATCCAGTTTGTTTGAACGGACATTCATGGTGACATTCTCTGCAAGCAAAAAGAGGGGAAAAGAAAAAAGAATAAGAGGGATTTGAACCATACAAATTTTATTTTCAAGTTCTGTATTTCTATTCCTCTGAGATCAAGTCTAAACATAAATACCAATTATCAGAGCTACAGACAAATGAATAATTTGTTGTAAAACAATCCTGATTTATTCAAATGAGAGTAGAGGTGAAATTAGAGCTACGCAGGATATTATGTTAAAAAGCACACGCATACAAAAAGAAAACAAAATGTCTAATTTTAACATAGTGTTGTTATCTGTGATTAATGATTTCCGTGGGTGTATAACTCTTATGCAAAAATGCCATGTAATCATGTACATATTTGATTAAATAGCTTAATTTGTGTTCATTTAAAAAAAAATAAAATAAAGCCAAATAAGCTAGATAATGAGTGGGCGTGTTGTAGGAAAAGCAGATGGGATTTGAGGCACTAGCTGTGTTCAAAGGAAGCCACCAATTTCACTTCAAGAATATTTGCGTATGAAAGCTGATATTTTCTAGAAACATTCATGAGTAGAACACAGAGGGAAATTTTGCCAAATTCTGCTGTTTTTAATGAAGGCATGCGGGGGGGGAAAAAAAAGTTCAGCTGAGCCCAGTTAAATTCCCACTCCACGGGAAGAGCATCTTTATTTATTTATTTTTCTCTATTTACTGGGAATGTTTTCTTTCTCTGAATCAATTATACCTGCAGCATCCTTTTGTTTACTTCTGAGCCTCTGCCAACAACCTCCCCTTTCTTTGCCTTCACCTGTGGAATTAAATACTTACTTTTCATCACACAATAAAAAAGACACCTCCCCAGACTGGAAATAATGGGATCCTTTGGTGGTAAAGCTGTGTAAATCACAGTGTCAAATGAATGGACAAAGCTTTAATGGGGCTAATAAACACGTCCCTCTGTATTGAGCAAGGGGACTTTTTATGAAAATGATCAAATAAAGTAATAAAAAAGAAGGGGCTTCCCCTCTGGGTTTATGAGCTCTCTTGTTACACATCATGTATGACACACTGACTGGCAGAATATATGATGGACTGTCATACATTGCAGAATGACTTCAATTAGGATGATAAGATGACAAGTTCCCATAGTTCATATCTGGGTTGGCTGTGGGTTTTTTTTCAGCAGGGCTCTTACTTTGACCTCTTTCTTTCTAATGTTTGATATGAAATTTAAAGGGCCGGCTGAGGTCGTAGGAGACAAAATATGACTTATGTCAGGAGAGGGAGAGGAAGGCCACTTGTTTCTTTGTTTTCTCTTATATCCATGGGTAGGATCCTGTAATTCAGCCTCTGACTCACTATTGAAAATAATTAATGCCAACAGTTCAACCCACACTCACAACTCCAGAATTATAAACCAACACATACAGCCTGCCACTCAAAACTGACTGCAAAAATCACTGCAAACCCTCCAAAAACCTACCAACAAATCTGGAGGCACATCAGACAAGGTGACACACGATCCAGCATCCATGAGTGTCATTTATTTGCTTTACACTGACCAGTCCTGAATGTTGAATCACAAGGAAATGCCTGTATTTTTGCAGGGTAGAGACTGACTTTTGGCCCATAAAGACACACTGGAAGAAAGAGAAGGCTGAGATAATTTGCATTTCTGAGATTTTCCAGCTAAAACCTTGGTTTGAATATGTCTATTTGGCTGGTACAGGTAGGAAACTTGAAGAAGGAGTTGTGCCCAAAATGGATGGGGAGGCAGTGCTGTCAGCACTTTGAATCTTAGAGAAGAAAAAAAAAAGGTATAAATTAGGAAGTACTTAAAATTTACAGATGTTTTTGAGGGTCTGAAAAATTTCACATTTTAAAAAATAACCCCCCAAAACAGCCAGTGTACAAGCCCTTCTTTTAGGGTTATTTTAGGGTTCTTTAAAGGACTATGTTCCGACGGTCATCAGGAGCAAATATTGCTCTTGTAAGACCTACACATAATACTACTGGGTCAGGCTCAATCTCAGACTGCTTCTTCTGTGGCAGCCATAAAACAGACAGAGTGAAGATGGAAAGCTATTCATCCTCAGCAGGGCTGAGCTGGCTCCCTGATATTGCTGATCCTGAGGAGCATCATGTGCCTGACCCCAGGGATGCTCCCTGGCTGGACAAGCATCGCCTCACCCACTCAGGCTCTGACCCTGGCATTTTACATGGTTGCATGGTTTGAAACAGCCCACCAACCTGGAAAAGGAAAATGCTTTCCAATGGAAGATCACATATTTTCCAGGTGGCCTATTCTGCGGATTCAGCGTTATTGCAGAGGATTTGCCTTTAAGTCAAAAAATTGCTTGTGTACGAGTCTCAAAAGCAAATCAGCAAGTGGAAGGAGTGGGATAATGGAGGCACTTATCTCTGCACAAAGGCACAAGTTTGATTTGCATAGATCCTGGCAGGAGTGACTCTGACTTTGAAGAATGGCACATGTCATGGTACGGGCACGGCAAAGATTGTGACTCAAACACACTGGAAAAGAAAAGCCTCACTGGGTAGAAACTGAATAGCAAAACTCACTTCACTTCTCCTTAGCTCTGAAAAGCCACAAATATCAGGAGGGTCTAGGAAGAATTTCCTGGGCATCTCCTCCTTGGGATAAATCAAGGTCTAAATCTAGACTAATGTGCCCAGAAGCTCCTGTTGAAGGAAAAAAAAGAGAAAGAGAAAAGAAAAGAATAAATGGGGAAAATTCAGCAGAGTTTAATCTGAAGAGTGTATCCATCACCAAAAATGATACAAATCAGCTATTACTGGATCATGCAAAGGCAACTCTACTACCTGTGATCCTTCCTTCGCTTTCTAAACCTCTTTTCAGCCCAGCCTAATGAATTGTCAGAACTGTCAGACAGCTCCAAGGAATGACAAATGTCTATGATTTGCTGCTGCTACTTTGCTGAAAACACCTGATGTATATAGTCCTGAAATCCTCTGTTTTGTATTAAAGGCAAGTGTAAGCTGAAGGAATTGGTGTACATGTGGAGTTATTTTCTTTCCTTTTACATAAATGTAGCTTAACAAAAAGAATATGATAAAAGGAAGTTCAGGTTGAATATTAAAGTACTCCTAAATCAGGAAATGTCAAAAAATAAGGCAGAAAATACAGCTTCAACAGTGGCCTATTTTGAACATTTAACAATCCCATACTTAATTATATTATTTAATATTGTATGTAATAGCTCTCTATGACCTCATATAAAACTTGCAATCATATATCTCAATACTTGCATGATGTTTTCTTAATCAGAATTATAGATAATGCAACACAAAGCATTCTAACTCCACAAAGAAATTGTTTGACACACAATAAGATCAGTCAAATAATTAATCTGACAAATATCAGAGTTTGAGTTAAACAGGCTCCAAACATTTATTAACTTGCAGCCAGATTCTGTGAACATTTGTCATTGACTTAAATGGGTCTAAGATTTCACTTCTTGACGAGTGACAGGCCCTGATGGGTATTTAGTCATTTCTGCTATACCAGATTGGCACTGTACTTAATACATTTGCTAATTCTGTCATAGAACTTACTCTCTATAACATTCCCCTGCATCTTCCCTAAAGAAACTCTTGTGAATCTGTCCCTTCAATAACACACGCAGAAAAAACATAGTTTTGAAAAACAGACAGTACAAGTCTTGCCTAATTAGTCACTTGTCCAGCACTGTAATGCATCTAGAAAAAATTCCAATTGACTGGGAGAATAATTTTTGCTGCTTCAGTGCTTGTTGGATGATATTTTCACGACAATCACTTTGTTTGTATGACTTTACAGGGAAAAGAGAGAGACATAACCATGGCACTACCCTTGAAGGTAGCAGACACAGAGGGGCTGATCTGAGTAAGGTTGGGAGTGTCACAAATTGTGTTTCTCAGCTGAAAGATTGGAGACAAAACACTGAGGTTGTAGAAAGCTGAACCAGCTGTGCAGGAACCAAATGGAGCTGATCCTTCCTCTCACTGTCACAATAGGTTTATTGTCACAGACTGAGATGCCTGGGAATAGAGTCCAGACTCAAAACTCTGCTAAAAGCAGGAACCTGCATCAGAACCATGAGGACATTTTGTCATATTTCTTGTAGACCACCTCATTTCCACACTGGAAACAAAAAAAATAATACCGTTTGTAGATCAAAAGGTAATGCCAACCACCCCACCTGCAATTGTGGACAGTGATCTCCATGAGTGGCAGAGCCAATGGTGGTGCTTCAAAGATGGAAAATAAGGCTGAGCTAGGTCTTGATGTTTTATCAACTTCATTAATGCTTCAGGCTCTCTGCAAGCCAAGAGCATCCTCAAGTCTTATTTCCCAATGAATCAGGCCTAGTCCAAAAAGAAAATACTTGCCCAGCCCTTGCAATTCTAATTAAAGGGAGGGTCGGGAGAAAAAAAAACTAACAAAAAAAGCCTGCAAAATTTAAATTGATTAATTGACTCACATGAAAGCTGTAAAATGGAAGGCCCCTGTGCTGTGTGTCTTATAATAAAGCTCCCCTGGCACACACTTGCACAGCTGCTACCTTGGTGTGGATGTCTGCAGATGATACAACATTGCCATCTCTCTGGATATCATCCCAATGAACACATTCCTCCTCAAACCACTCATGTGAGCCACTCCTGTGAGCCAGACAGGGAACTGAGGCACAGAGAACGCAGATAAAGCCCTCCAAGGCATCAAGCTTGCTGGCACCTATTGAAGTCCAGAGCAATCAAGCCTCTAAACGGAGGTCAAACACTGGAGGATTTCATCTAGGACACTTTGCCCTCTGTGGTCAGTTCCAATTAATCAGGGCATGGAAAACAGGTCCCCACATATTAAGAGGCTGTCTAAACACTGGCATCCTGCCTCCTGTCCCTTATGAGCTGACGTGGGTTTGGGCCAAGCCTGCCTGAGTGAAGGTATTGGGTTGTCATCCCCTTTTCTGTCACGTCAAAGCACGGTGATGGGACTGTGAGGATCTCCCAGGGCATCAGTGCTGCTGGATAACAAAGGGGAGCTGCTGCTTTCTCAGCAATCAGAGCTGAGCTCCCAAAAGCAGCCTCAGCAAAGGGCAGGAGGAAGCTCTGAAGCGCTGCTGGTCCCATGGATGCGCTGCAAATGAAGATGTGTATACCCAAGCAGGAGGAATAATGAGAAATGTATGCCGAGGAGATTACTGGGTTTCTCTGTTAGATTAACTCTAGTTTGACAGTGGCTGGGTTTGGGAAATCCTCTATGATTTAAGAATAAGAATTCTTCTCTAAGTGGCCTAAAACTCACTGCTATATCATCACTTGCTGTTGTCAAATAAATAATCATGCGAAATCAGCTGCAGAGAAAAGTCTGCTGTGGAAGAGAGTTCATGCATGACATATGATATATCTTTTCACAGGGACAGATACATCTTTCTTACAGCCAGCATGCAGCTTCCTTCACTGCACCTTCCCTCCCATCCAAATCACCTCAAATAAATGTGAGTTCTGCTGTGTTCACAGTAATTCCTTCATTTTTAAACACATAATGGAAATGTATAACTAGTCCTCATAAAAATTTATATCTCAATTCGTCCCTTTAATTTATAACAGGCCCTCCAGGCAGTTATTATTCAAACATTAATAAAATGCCTATGGATCACCAAAAGCATCAATTTTCAGATCCACCTCCCCTCCTATTTGTACATATATAAAGCCAGATTAGAGTTAATGCCACTTCTGTGTCTAACAACAATTACGCCTTTAATAAGATAGGAACAAATGATATATTATCTTAATCATGTTAGGAATTTGAGTTCTTTCCATGAAACAAAGTTGAATTTTTTATGCCCTTTGTGACAATTGTTACTTAACAGCCTATGTGTTTGGATATTGCAGTTTATGCAAATGTTCATGTTCTATAAATTTTAGATTTATCTCCATTTATCATTCCACATGTTCTCATATACAGACATTATGGTTTAGCGTCTGACTCTGCACACAGTCTAAAATATGATTAGGATACCTTTCACTTATTTATAACATGGAAAAAAGGATGAGGGGGGGTAGTAGCTGTTGTAGAGGCAAGATCCTCCACTTCCATAAAACCATGTACTGTGCAGAGCTGCAAAAGCCATCTTGGACTTTGGTCTTTCATTTACTGACAGCTGAATTTCAAAGGATTGAGGTTTATAGGGGAACTCTTCATTCTCTGCTCTAAAATCAGTCACGAGTTCATTGTATATCACACTTTAACAACTCTTACTCAGGAGAGTAATTATGGCTAATATGAGCTCTCCCATAGAGAGACAAGGAGACAACTTGCATGCACAACTGTTTTTGGATTGAAGCCATTTTAGAGGATCATTAGGATCATAAAGATTTGTAGGAAAGAAAACCCTGGTATTTTTCATTTTTCTGCTGGGAGGTTTAAAGCTCCTTGTATTTTGAGAGGAGAGCAAGGGAAGTACATCCTAGGCCGTAGTTTCATTCTGCAAAAATCACTACGGTTTGATTGCTCTCAGAGAAACAACAGCAAAGTATATAATCTGAGAAACTGGGCCTTTGCATAGCCATGAAAAAAAAAAAAGAAAAAAAATAAAGGAAATACAAAAAAGACCCTCTCTAAAAAACTAACTACACTCCAATCTGAGGTCTAAAGCAGGTTGAATTTACTCTTAGACTTCATTCACAGGAGCTCACAGTGATGTTTCAAGTGGGTGCTGCCTGAGGGGGAATTATCGGGAATGGAGCTGCTGTTGTAATTTCTTTACACCAGCAGAGTGAACAGGCAGGAATTCAGCTGAACCATCTCACCTTCATGATGGACCCTGTGTTGCACCCAGTCTTCAGCTGCCCAGGAAATCTGTCTCCTTCAGAGAGCTGCAGCATTATCTGGAGGGTTTTATTGCCATGTCTCCCACCCCTGCCAGAGGGAAGTTCCCTTTTGTTCACTGAGGTGTCCCTGCATTTCCCAGGCACCTTAAAAACCTGATGGAGACCCAGGGAGGGACCAAAACTAAAGTGAACCCCATTAAGACAGGAGCTGCCTTCCTGTGTGTTTCATTATTAATACTGAGTTCAATTACTCTGATTTCTTCTGTTGATGAATTAGTAGCACCAGAATCAAGTCCCTGGCTGATACCCATTTGTCTTTGCTTATAAGTGCTAATGTGATCCTGTTCCTTTAAAATCAAACTCCTGCTTCAGTCACTTTACATCTTTGCAACACTAACTGTCTTTTCACTAATTGGTTCTGTGTAAATGAAACAAGCTGAAAAACACTGTGGCACCAATAAATATTAATAAGTTATTGTTTGTTTTCTTTACCTTGCTTATGAATTCATACAAAGACAGTGCTAAGACATTAACTCCAGTCTATTAATTGCCACCTGATAATTGCCACCTGATACTTTTCTCCTGGATAATTAGGTACCCATTAGTTCTAATCAAGTAGTTACTTAATTATTGCAGTAATTAGTCTAATGGACTAGCAAATTGAAGCTTTATCACTTTTGGATACTTAATGTTCCTGACAGAGTGCTTCACAAGTGTCAGGGTTCCTGATTCAGCAACCTGCCATTGATGAACCCCCTGCTGCCATCTCCACCCACCCACACTGCTGCCCGGACACACACAGCACAACTTGGGTGTGTGAAGCCAGAGGAAACAGAAATTCGAGCCCC